GAGGCAGCATCAAAACGTGATGGCTAAGACAGTGGACACTGAAGTTAGGCTGACCATGTGTGTTCAAGTCCTGATTCTTTTGCTTCCTAACTGCGTGTGACCTTCATATGCCACATTTTTTATTTAATCTATTCTCTATTACTGGGATATTTGCAATAGGCACCTCATAGGTTTATGATAAGATCCAATGATATCCCCAGAATAGATACAGGTGACCCATAGTATATGGATCTTTGATGAGATCAGGCGTGTTCAGGGTGGTATGGCCGTAGACAAGGATCTTTGAAATGAAAGGTAATTATGAAAATACAAATAAGATTCATATTCATAAACCATTGTTAATGGTTCTCTGTTGGTCTATACCAAATGTTTCAAAATTGCAGAATGCTAAAAGTGATCTTATGATGTAAAATATAGAAAAAACAGTGCAGAGTCTGAAAACATAGACTAGCTAGTGATAGAAAGCCATGTAGTTTTTCCAGAATCATCTCCAGGAAGGTGAACAGCAAACAGTAGCAAGTAGATGTAATAACAATTGAAATCACAAATCACAGGCAGCCGTAAGCATGTGTAGTGTGTAGAAAACCACTGGCTTCTCCAGTCATGAAGCTGTAGGGACTGACCGACAGCAGTCAGGAGGACTGTGAATTGAATTTAAATGACTAACTTGTGTAATATTGCGTCCCTTCAATGATAGACAGAATGCACCATACATAATAAAATTGTTAAGGATTTCCTGATGTTCATGGGCTTTTGATTTTGTTCTTAGTCCTGTGCATACACTTTAAAATAAATACCAAATTGCCAGTGGCTAAGGCTGAGAGTCAGGGAAGACAAAAGCTTGTTAAAAACCAGGGCCTTATATTGACGTACAAAGTAAAACCGAGGACTGGGATATAAGAAATAAAAGAAAAATGGAAAAAAAAGGGGATTGAATTTATTTTACAATTTTACAAATGATAAAACAGTAACACCAATTGCTATACATAAACAATAGGGAAACAGCGTTGAAACATAATGAATTTGACAGAATAAACCTTATCTTTCAATTTTACAAAGTATATAAGAAATACTCAGTAGCAATTATTCTGTGCAGCAGTGCTATCTCTGTAAACTTTTTTCCTGCTATATATATATATATGTATATATATACATTTAAACCACTTGTGCTTTTGCCTACACAAAGAAACAGTGTCTATTAAAAGGTGCTACTTAAATGGGAGACACAGGGCCCAAAGCTACAATCTGAAAACTGCAATTCAATTACATTGCCAGCTTGAAGACTTTTTTTTATTTTAATTTTTCTTTTTTTTAAACATTTGGACAGACGAGACCCTTATTGTAACTCTAGATATGAACAACATAGAATTCAGTTATAAAGTAGGTCCCTCTTAAAGCAGGTTAGTAACTGAAGTCTCAAAAGAACTTCTTTATTTGAAAGTGGTCTTATCTCCAGAGTGCTTCGCAGTGCCACTCCTGAAGATGTTAGCATAACACGAATCTAATGTGTGTAAATTACGGGCTCAGTGTGTATACACACAAACACACATATATAACATTGTATATATGCATCACACATCTATCTGACTATATAGATATATCTATAGCACATATATAATAAAATATCTATTTCTAGGTGGCCTTTATTTGGATTTTCTTTCATTAAATACAAACAATAACCTCCTTTAACTCAATTTTTAAAACATTGGTATATTGATAATGTCTGGTGGGGAAATTTCAAACTTGTAGAAATAACAACTAACCCTATTTAACTCTTCCTACACCCCTTCCACAATTACAGCTACTCTCAACAATAAGCACATGGAAACAACTCTTTATGAACCGATAGAACATCGTGTGCATTGTGACTAACTGGCTCAATTAGAAATAAATTATTTTGTTCACCCTTTTCCTGTGTACTAACCTAATAACTAGTTGGTATGTACACTGCCCATAGCATACAGAAGGCCCGCTATACTCATCACTATACCACCAATGCAAGCATAGCATTATTGAAATAAATTGCTTCGGTAAGCATATATGTAGAAATTCCAATTAGCAACTGATATATATTTCATATGAGATACACTGCGTAAAGACATCTGAGTGCCCAGCACCTTCTTTCAGATACAAAAACTTCCACAGTAATATCATCAGTCCCGTGGGCTGAATAATTACATTTGCCCAAAAAACTCTGCCACTGATTCATTTTTTTTTTTTTATTCCAGCAACTTAATAGTAAGCATAGAACATGCTGGGTAATAATGATGAAAATGTTTCTGTAGCCCATTCATGTCAACAGCACACTAACAGCCACGTTTTCTAAAGGACAACACTATTTCACAAGCAGCTGCCTGAGCATTTGCCAGGTACAGAGTTAAGTCGTGAAAAAGGAATTAAAAAAACAAAAACAAAAACAAAAACAAAACCAAAGCTGTGAACATACAATAATAAAAAAGAAAAACACCCAGCTATTTCAAGTATATATTTATAACTTAATTTTATAAGATCCCTTTTGCCCCCTTATTGGTTAAATCTCAGTTCTTTTTCTTGTTCTTGCCGTTGGCCTTCAGTGGTCCCCTTGCCCCACCCTTACGGGAAGGCCGCTGCAGATCGTGAGGGGATGTGTGGATGGAAATATATGCAACAGGGAATGGAGTGATCATGTACAGTTTATATTCTTTGAACACTAAATGCCTTTAATTGAATTTATTCTTGAGTATTAAAAGTTCCCTGAGATGAACAAAAGTAGTCTCAGTTGAAACTGAAGCCCTTTTTATACGCCAAACATTTTCAGAACTGGGTAACCTATTTAGAGAACACAAAGTATAGGGCAACAATACAATGTGAAGCTAAAAAGGCACTACTCAATGCGTCCAAAAGATAAACTTCAATGCACAGAACAGTGAGTGGCTGGGATGCTTTTGCTGTGGCCTTAAAATTGTTTAGATACATTTGTTGAAAATACAGTAAAAATGACAAGGTGCCTTGCTGTTGCTTTTTAAGGTGTACTTTGAATGACTTCTGAGATGCATTTCACCTCTAAGAATTTACTTGTGACTTCAAAATGTCCATTGAATTCAAATTAAAGGGTATTCAAACAACTGATTTGCAAATAGTCAAAATTAAGGTCCTATAAATCACCTACCTGCCTTTGATTTATTAAGTCAATCACACTTTCAAACTTTACATTCAAAATATGTGCCTAATTCTTTTAAAATTCCCAATAGATAAGAGGTTAATGATAAAAGTACATTACATTCTATCCATTTTTAGCTATGCATTTCCATTATTCATTCTATTTGCTTTCTTAGAGACACATGAATTCTCAGAAAATATAGTCCTCTATATCACACAGTTCTACCATATTTTTAAAAACTATACCACATTTCATTAATATATTGAGAACTGCACGATAACATATACATTCTCCATGCGATTTAATCTTTTTTTTCACACTGCCTTCCCGAATAAATAAAACATATGTATTTGCGTGCTATTCTTCTTTCCTCAGACTGCCTTGCCTAAAAAACAAGAAGTCATCCAAGTTGTTGCGGGCCAAGAGTAGAAGTGAGAGCACAGTACTTCTGCTTTCAGAAGAAACAATTTACCATCAGAATTACTACCAGTGTAGGATAAGTTACCAGTAAACAGGCCTATCGGTCAATTCTGTTACATGTTAAGATTTTTTAAATTACTTTATTAATAATTTCATGTGCTTTTTTAAAAAAAACACATTAATATGATAACATGAATAAATTTAACCACAGAAAAAATGTTGGTCAATTTAATTCATACAAAGTGCAAAATACTAACACACAGTTTCATTGTTAAACCTCTTAAAATGAATCATCCCTGTTATGGAAACTGCAGTATTATTTGTCCTGTTATTCCTGCACTAAGAATATTTAACTATGATATGAACAGCATGCCAATCTTTTCATTTGGATAAGGGGAGGATATCAAAGAACTGGAAGTCATGTTTCAGTCCTGTCAGTCAAACATTTATTCTAAAGGAAAAAGTGCTTCCACAAAATTGTTATGAAATGTAAAAGCTGTGGAAGTTTTGAGTTTGGAAAATTTCAAATATCTAGAGAGAACTTTCACATTTAAGAGAATAACATATTGTTTTCACGAAGGAGAATGGTTTGTTGTATAGAAACATCAGTATAATCTTTGGTACCAAAAGTACATTTTTTTCAGCTGATATTACAATCTCAGGTGACATAGAACATCTTTCTTTTCAAATGGCTCAAGATTACTAAATGGTCAGTTTAGCTGGTACCTTCTACAGCAATGGGAAAAAAATCCAGAGGTTTAGAGTTGTGCAAAATAAACCTTTTTAACAAAGTCATTGTGTGATTGCTCTTTAAAAATGTAAGAACTGTAAATGTGATGACTTGAAGGTTATTTATCTCATTCACATTTGTCTTAGGATTTCTAAGCACCCCAAAACCCAAACCAAAAGAGATTACAAACAAAAACAGGAACATAAAAGTCACGATCAGATGCAAGAGTTCCAACTGAAGGCATTTGCTTGAGTTGTTTAAATTTATGAATCTCACTGATCAAACTGTTCGCATCTTCCTATGTGCTGACAAGGACGGTTAATGTCCCCAAGGGCTGAGTTGTCTTCCTGGGTTCCTCTTCCCATGTGCTTGGCATTGCAGCGGCAGCCTGACAGTGATGAACATCTTTGCTTCGGTAACTAATGATGAGTGCATTGTTGGATCTTGTAAACACTACTGATTATACATTCAAACTGTGTTCTTCGTGGAAGCGGCACTTACTAGGACCCTTGAAGTCAAGATATTTAATTTTTAGAGCACTTTGCAGATTTTCATCAGCTGGTTGTGGATTTCTCAAGAATGTCCCTTATCACCTTTTCAGGTCATTGGTGAAGGCTGAAACCCAGTTTTGTTTTGGATCCTATTTTCAAAGCTTAGGAAGCGTCTTCACAAAAGAAGTGCATATTCAGCTTGTTTGTTTTCAAATGTGCTTTATTGCTTTACACACTTCCCTGTTGTCAGTTTCAGAGCGCCTCTATTATGTAGCACATTTAATGTTTTGAATTCTAATGGCATTCTGTGAGGACTTGCATTAGAAAAATACCTATATTTTAAGTCATCATAGTAATGATATTTGACGGCTTTTCCATTCAAATCCTTAGGGAATGGCCAGAATCCATACAGGTGAATCTCATCACAGAATCTTGTGGCAAGTGTGTACATGAGGAGGCCTGTACTGGGTCTTTTGATGGGAACTTTGTTTGTCAGCCAGTAACTGGAAAAACACACACAAACACAGAAACAAGAATTTAGAGAATCATACAATGTAGCCTGTAGCAAATATACGATGTACAATTAAAGTAAATGAAACTTGAAAAATATATTTATGAATAACACTGAAAATATTACTGAAGAAATATATTTGTTAAATCATCTAAGATATTAATGCATTTATTTTATTTTCCTAAATCCTTGATTTTCTTGCTTATTTTTGAGGTCATATAATTAGCCAGGGAATCTGAAATGTAGTATATGTTCCTGTGTAATCCCATATTCAAAATAAATTAGTAGCAAAAATTTATATACTATAGAGTTGAATCTTCTCAGAAGTGTTAAATATGCTGTGAAAGACACAGTAATTGGGCAGTGACAAAGTAATTCTCCTGGAAAAAGAGAGCTTGAAACTTGGCTATAGTTTGTCAAAATCTCATATTTAAATGAAAAATCCAAACAAATAAATGCTTTACCTGTATTATGCTGACGTATTAAATGTCGATTGCTCAAATCACATGTTATTAAAGCTAATTAAAAATACTATCTTAACCCATAGAAGAACAACATAAAACACTTCTTTTGTAACTAGTCCACCATTCATACAGTTTAACATTTTGTAAAACTGGCAAAATATAATTCAGCACTGATAAATATTTTATTTTATTCATTTTAAAAGGTAATAAGTACTCCAAAATGTTCAGACCCATCATTGTTGCCTCTTTGTTCACGTGAAAAATGTGCATGCAAACTCAAGAAGTTAACCATCACTTGTGGAGAGGAAGGGGGTTTCCAATAGTTTTTCACATATTCGTTACCTTATGCTAAAGAGTAAGTGTATAGATTTTCTATTACTTTCAAAGTTATCCAAAAATAAATAAATTGTCTTTTTTAAAATTTCGGTTTAGATTAACATCTCCTCTTGAGGGAAATATATTCCCTGCCATCCAAATGTAGGGGAAGATGGTTTGATTCTGGTCATTGATGTATTTAAATATTTGCCTTAGATTTTACATAATATTACTTTCTTTTTAAAAATGATACATTAAGCTTTTCAGGGAAGAGCAAATATATCTAGACTGTTGAATATGAAAAAAACAAAATATTATTTTATTTCATTTAATGGAGAAATATTGATTTTTCAAACATTACTACAAACATCAAAAATAGGAAGAATATACTTTGCCATTACCATTCTGTTTTTTTTTTTCCTTTGTCCCCCTCCTACAAACCAGAACTGACCTTTCACATGTTTTATTTTTTTCTCGGGTCACATACTGAAATGTGCTAAGCAATGTGAAATGCACTATTGACCTTTTGTTATTACAAGTGTTTTAAGAAAGCCTATTCTCAGTAAAGAAGGTTCATAAGAAATTTTCAGAGAAGAGATCTAAGAATTTTTTTCCACCTAAAGACAGCTGAATGAGCAAAAACCATACCACCCATATCGGTAACATCATGACAAAACCACAGACATTGATTTCATGTCTACACTCTGAATGTTTTGAAGAGACTGTGGTACGGCCTAAAGTTCTCTCAGCTTTGAGAAAGCAAGGACTCTTAAATGATTGTTAGGAAAGTCTTGTGAATGTTATCTGTGTGTGGTTAAAAATGTCAGTAGATGCAGTTGGTTAGTTTTAAAAGTGCATTTATTTTTAAATTTTTCAAGTGGATGAAGTTCAAACAGTAAAAAAAATATTTTCATCAGGGAGGGTCAATGACTGGAAATACTTTGGTAGTATGAAGGTCATACCAAATTATGTACTTTAATCTTATTCTAAGGTGAGAGAAAAAAAAGAACTAGCAGGCAATAATATAATGCTATATTATTTGTGTGGGAGTGAAAGATCACATTAAATATGACTCCATGATCATATTATGAATAAATGTTTTCCATTTCTTAATTCTGGTGAGATTTGCTGGACTCTACTTAATTATGGTTGGTCATAGACAAAATACCAAAGCAACTTCTATATGAAATACAAATAAGCAACTCTGGTGTTTAAACAAATGCTGAAGGCAATGTTATTGGCCTAAATATTTGCAAATAGTCTCAGAGATGTCACTCAATATTTGTAGATCCAGGCACCTTTTGAGATACCACACACAGTTAATGAAGTTGTCTTTTTACCCTCAGGTACCTGATGTAATGCAGAGCAGGCAAATGAGCGTTATGGAAACATTAGCACATCCAGAAAAATGTAATAGAAAAATGTAATTCTCATGACAATCCTCAACACTATGATGTGATTTCAGTGAGAAATTTACAGAAGAAATATATGTATTTTTAATAGGGAGGATATACCTAGAATATTAATTAATATGAATAAAAATTGTTTTGAAAACTAAATCCTGATCACAAAGCATCCTATTTGAAAATAATTGGTAGAGATACTTTAGAAACTTGCTGTGTTTTAATCTATGCAGCTAATATTGCTATTAATAAGTTTTCCTTTAGAAATGGTAGCAAAAGAAGAAATTAAGCTTTGTGATATTTGGCTTGTAGCATTTTGAGTAATTTTAAAAGAAAATAAATTACACATTTTCCAGGACATTTTTAGAAAAAAAAAACTAGATGCCATTTATCCTTTTGAATAATTTTAAAAATCACAAGGAAACAGACAGTAATAAATGACATCAACATGTAATAGATAAATTTAAAAAATTAAAGCAGGTCAAGAATTAAAGTCACAGGTAATAACATCCTGTGAAAATACTACTAACAATTTCCTACGTGCATATTATAAATCTAATGTTATGCTTGAAATTGTATAGGCCAATTTAATCAGAAGGATTCAGTATTTTCCCAGAAACACATTCCACATTTGAAAAAGACAAAAATGAATACTTTTAAAAAATTCCGTTAGCAGGTCAACTTTACAAGCCAAAGGTCAGAATAAAATTTGGAAAGCCAGTTTTGAAAGTATCTGCTTATAACAAGCAGACATTTAAAAACCCTAAGTTTATTGTGAGGAGTTTATTTAAAAAAATAAAATATTAACTTAAGTTTTTAATCTTAATTAGGATAAAACTGGATTGAAACAACTGCATTGATAAAATAACAAACTACTCATAATCTAATTCAGTACAGCTATTGTAAACTATCTCAAATTTTTCTCTGTTGTTGATTAAAATTTAGCAATGTTTTCAAGTCAGGAAACAATCTTGTTTCCATGTATGTATTTATTTTTATAAATAAATTAATTTTTTAAATTATAAAATAAATGCAGACTTCCATAGAAAACTGAAGGAAAAAATAAATGAAAAAGGAAGATATTACCTATAATCCATCATATAAAAATAGTAACTGCTATAATGTGCAGCATCCTTTTGTTTCCCTGACAGTTTTGGATATTAAAATATATTGTAATCATTCAGAGACACATAGAGAAAATTTTTCATCAGCTCAGATGTTTTATTTCAGATATTATTAATTCCCTCTCTCCCTCCTTCCTTTCCTTTCTGTTTTAATATTATAATACTCTGTCTTGTATGAAACAAACTCACCTTGGGTTTTTTGTGTAAATTAAATTTTTCTTTTTTTTTAAATAGATGTAATCATCTCACTACCTGTCAATATGGAAACTCTGTTCTTGCCCAGCAAGGTGTCTTATCCACTGTTCCTCAACATTACAGTCCCATTTCTTATTTCAGACGAACTCAACACTTGGGATGCCTTTACCTACCAAATCAGTGTGCTACACATGGCTGTATTTATGGTCACAATATGTGGGTGTGAAATACTGTTTTTAAGTTTTTGAGAAAGCTAGTTTATTTCTTTGGACATCAGTTAATAATACTTAACATGCAAGCTTATTATGATCATGTAAAAGAGAGAGTAAGTGTGGAAGAATATAGCATAAAACTTGTCACATAGGAAGTAGTAGTCGAATTTCAAAATGTACCACAACAACCCACTCTTCAATCCTAATCACACATCCCACTTTTATCTTGGAACCTTTTGTACCTACATATTGACTGGACAATTGGGGTCATGTTTCCTTAGTTGAGAAACTAAAACATTTGATTGTATGACTTGGGGATTTTCTCTACCTATAAGGTTCTACTGCTGTTTCAGATCTCCTCTCCCACGAAACTGCACATTCCCTGACCTATTCTTGGTCCTGCTCTGCTTCCTTCTCCCTGTTCTGCTCCTTTTACCTTCTTCTTTCAGGCTTTAATGTTTGCAAAGCGGTTACTAAAAAATGCTTGATTCTACAGCCAGCTGTATGTTATATTTTATCTTATAATAAAATTAGATAATAACCACCTAATGAACCAAAACATATGATTATTTCAAGTAACCAACATTTTAAAAATAAAAGAAAAAAAATTACAGACAACATACTCAACATGTTGGTTAATTTGTATTTATATTTTAAAAAGTCTTAAAGTTTAGAAGTATTATAATATTCTTTCTCTTAAAATCTTATTATTCTGACAATTGAACATGAAAATTTCTAGAAGAATCTTTCTAAAGAGTATGGTATCTCACTGTGCCAACAGTTTTACACTTAATATTATGTTACATGCAAAGTTTCCATTCATGAGCCCAGAAATTCTTCTATCTGGAATGTGAGATAAAGCACATAGCAACATAACACAGTGCACTCTTAGTTCAGAGGTGGCTTCTCCATTTCTCCTCTCATGTTTAATCTTCTCACAACTGAGCTCTGTGCTTGGTTCCACAGGAAGATCCTGTTAAGGGTACAATATAGCTCTAGTTTTAAAATGTCTATGAAAATTTGAGATATTATAAAAGAATTAGCTTTCTAATATTCATTACCCAAAATATAAACCCCACCCCCTAAAAAACAAATTCTTTTATAATATCTGAATGATATATATGGCTTTTCAGGGATTCTGTCCTACATATTTGTCAATTTGTCAGGTCAGTTTATTCTGTAGAGGAATTTATGTGTGCAGGTTATATAATATAAAACTTAAGGCAGTCATCCCTGGACATACTGATGTAGAACATCTCTGGTATTTTGCTTCCAACTA